GACAGCTCAACCTGGAGAAAAGAATGCTCAGGTGAATCTCGTCAACACATACAACTATCTGAAAAGAGACGGGAAAGAAGATAAAGCAAGGCTCACTTGAGCAGTACCCAGTGACAGGATGGTAATGGGCACAGCTGGAAGCACATAAGGTTCTGTCCACAAGCCAGGGATTACTTTTTTATGATCAGGGCGACTACGAACAACTGCTTGTAAAGGTTGTGCAGTCTCCATCCTCAGAGGTGCTCAAAAGCCGCCTGGACATGGGCCTGGGCAGCTTGCTTTAGAAGACCTACCTTGAACAGGGCATATTGGACCAGATACCTCAAAACTCTGTGATTCTGTCCATGGATACATATATCCTTACAATATCTTCTATTTAGCCATGTAGGATGGCACTTGCAACTAGCTGCTGAAAAAACATCTACAACTTCCTGACTATTCAGGAAAAATAGTATCTAATTAATTACCTAAGAAAAAGGAATATGAAATCTCTATTAAATGTTTGTAATTTGTGTGCTATGCATATAATTAGTGGAAAAGAACCAATACAAGTCCTTTTTTTGCTCCACTGACAATTGATAATTTTGGAATAGTATACTGTTTGCTGGCTATGACTATATATTTACATACACTCCTGTGGTCACTCCTGTCCTCTGAAAGAGCATTCACTATATTGCTAAGTCATTCCTGTAACATCTTTTCATCCAACTTCACACATTGAAACCATCCAAAAGAAGCCTCTCACCACCTACAAACCCTAAAATATATGTTCTAACACTTGCAAATACAAATTCCCTTAAAATGGCCTTACTGAGTCTCAAGTTACCTATATTGAAGGACTGATCTGTTGTAGTAATTTGAGTGCAACAAAACTCTACATTCCATGAAAGAGTGGAAGAGAATACTCAACAATTCCGCATTTACAAAAAGAAAGGAAAGAAAAAATGGAAGATCAGCAGTAGCTCTAAAAGGAACAAAATAGCACTTCACTTTCAGACTGCCCAAGGCTGAAATAGAGGTTGGGTATCAAGCATAAAATAAACACTGATATAAAAGGAAATAAGCAAGCAGAAATCACATTGTAACACCACCACAGAAACAGAACGCAACAACGTAAGAAAGAAACGTAAGAAAGTGTCATAGTGCTCCTAATAAAGAAATCAGTCTGAAAATCTTTCTGTTTGTCAATCACAGATGAGCATGCAAGGATGGATAACAGACACATGCTTAACACAGCACAATTATGTTTCACTATGGGATTGATTTAAAATTAGATGGATACATAAATAAATGAAAAGTCCCAGTTTATACGGAGACCTTGTGAAATGAACCACATGGTGCTTATTACAAATTTCTTCATTAAGACCTTCCTAACAACTTGATAAATAATTTTCTGGTAGAGATATGCGGGAATGGAAATGATAACTTCATTAATATTTCTTTCTCATAAAAATAAAAAGTGTCCTTTTATTAACTCGAAGGAGACTCTTTGGGGGTACAGCAAATATTTTAAATTACCTATTGATTATAGTAAGTTCATTTTGAAAAGTGGAGTTCTTTGAAATGGTACAAATAACAGTTCTTTTGCTTATTATGAAATGCCATTTTAGGACATCACTGCGAACCAGGAGAAGGGTTAAAGGTATGCCTGAGAGCCAGGCCCCTGTACACCCACACTCAGAAGCTATGAGGGAGTCTTACTGACCTCTGAATTAAAACCACAGCTTTCAAATGGCTCTTTGTGAACATCTTACTGTTAATTCCCATTTATGGTACCACACAGCATGGATATCCATGTCCTTGGAGCATTCTAATTTATTACGGGATTAAGTCAGAAAAATAGTCTTCGGAGGGCTACTCAGGAAAAAAAAAAATCATATTTCTTAATATATAGTATGTTGACCATAAGAAGTAGTCTACTTACATTGCACCTGCTGTTACATAAACCTGCCATTTATCTTATAGTCTCCATATTTGTCTGTCATATGTTCCCTCAAAAAGGCATTCTTTTACAGAAGAGTACACTCAGAGAAAAAAAGCAGAGCTGTAAGGATCATGTCACTGGTCCTACTGTTTACCATTATCTTCAAGGTTTTAGATTTGATTTACATCGCGTTCCTCCCTATTTGACTTTAATTGTCTGCTTCAAGTTGTCAGGACATAACTATATCTTAGATTTGCATTGCATTAGGGGATCTTTTCCTTTCTCTATTGATCTTGTCTTATGGAGTAATTTAACTCAATTCTAATTTTCTTTTGCATGCGGGGTGCTCTTTTTCGAAGGAAGTGAGTTATGTGTATTCAAGTGGTGCATCTTATGAATCTTGTTAAGCTTTACCGCCTTATAGCCCACACTGATGGAATATTTAATCACAGAAATGAGTTGGCAGATATGATGTACAATACGGTTAAGCCTTGCGGCGTGTGTCTTCACCAGCAATTGAGAAACGGGTGAATTTGCCATTCATCACTGCCATCCTGACAGCTTTGTATAACCTTCTGGGATTTTTTTTTTTACTTATTTATGAAGATTAAAGGTACTTTAAATCAACAGTTTTTCTAGAAATATTTCATTTTTATTTCAGAAGTGGCCAAATTTTTCATCATTTATTAGAGCAGAAGAAATTTCTTACACAGACTGTGGAATAGATGGTAGCACTTCAACATGACAGCGTTCGAGACTATAATTAAACCAAGTGACTGTAACTTTAACTGTCTTAAAAAAATCACATTTCTAAATTTAAAATCTTCAAAAGTGAAACTGCTTCTTTTCCAGGTAAGGCGGGTGGATGCATAAATAAAGATATGCCACAGCATTCCATTATGGCATAGAAGAACTATTTCATTTTCTAATGACTTTAAGAGTTTGTGCAGTTTTTTTTTCTGTTTGCTTATTTTAATCTATATTGCTTAAAGGAATCTTTAAACACCTGTGAGACAAAAGTTTATTTCATTCATTACAGAAAATATGCAAAATAAAAAGGTCTGTATATGTGCACAGAAAAAAATACTGAAATACATTAAGTATCCTGGATAGAACTTTCTGCATAGGTGTGGTAGAGTGCATGGCATAATTCATAAAATTAAATTAATACTCTTCTAATGGTAATTAAAGATTCTCATTAAGAAGGGCAAACACCTCCCTTGCGTTGGCAATAAAAATGCACTTGGGACTTATAAAAAAAAAAAAATCAATAACCTGCCATTTTATAATTAAAAGAAAAAATAAATGTTAGGAAAAAATCCAGTAAATTAAGAAAATTACCTTCAGGAGAGATTGAAAATATTGATTTTAATTTACAAACTATGTGAACTCTTCATGCCCTACTTCATGAAACAATTATAAGTCAGACTGTTAATTCTGCATACATATTAGAAAATTGATTACTGTACTATGGGAATATTATTATATTTGTCATTAACACAAAGTCATTTATATAAAATGACTAATAACTCTGACTTCCTAATTTATGCAGGTTCAGGGTTGGTTCACCAACTCCTCACACAAGATCAATGTTAAATTCCTGTTTTCGGCGTAGGTATACATCAAAGAAGGAAACAAATTCCACCTGCACCAAATATTGCTCTTCTATGAATACCAGCTTAGTGTTTCTATTATTCTTTCATAATGCAATTTGTATTGTTTCTCTATTTCAGTAGTTGGCACTGCACATATTACAGGCAGCTTCTTTAAAATAAGAATTTGTTTATAACATTTCTATAGTGCAGTTCTATACAACATTTTTTCTCTCTTGAAATTCCCTGAACTAACCAAACATTTTCAGTTTTATCCTGTGGAGGCTTAAGTATCTCCAAGGATGAAGATTCCCTAGCATCTGTAGGCAACCTCTTTGCATGCTAATTATTTTTATATTTATTTTTATATTTATATTTTTATATTATTAATTTGCCATGCATGTTAGTGAAAAGCATTTGCCTAATACCTACTGGAAACTTCCCCTGTTTCAACTTGCGGTAATAAACACATTGTACAATTACTTCTTTATTTTTCATTACCTATATGTGTGACAGTGGACTAACATTTTTGCGTTTTAAAATATGAACTGAAATTTTATCCTTTCTACCGGATAAGTGTCTACACACCCAGGCACAAACAACTAAAAACAACTAAAAAACCAAAATGGAAAACAAGATTTCCCAGTGATTCCCATGAAATTCACAGGACGTTTTATGTGATCTGGAAACCTAAGAAAGGAAAACAACTATACAGCCTACTAGAAACATTTGCAGCTACAGGGATCATTTCTCCCTACGTTACAAACTATTAGTTTATTTAAAAAAAAGTCATTTTTGGATTTTCTACAGGCTATGGGTGGGATTTGGGATTCAAGTTCTTCTATAATCAAATTGATTTTGGTATACACCCACATTTTCAGTGCTGTTTCTGCAGTGTATTTACAAATTGCTGCTAGCAATGGAAAAAGGCTAAATCTCATCAACTCGAAGTTGTACCAAGGATTAGAATTGTCTAAATAAAGCCTATATTACAAATACAATCGTTTTACAAGACTGATTAACTAAATATAAAATTTAAAGAAAAATGTTCAAGAAAAAATTAGGAATGGAGTTCATAATTCTATACATTTGTGTGAATATCTGTATCTTATATATATATTTACATATTTACAGATAGATATTTTTTGTTGTTGCCTAAGCTCAAGTAATTCATGATACCAAATGTCTGTACTGAAATATAAAATGAATGAAATAAAAAATAAAGTATAAAACAACTAAAAAAATCTCATGAAAGGCTGCAGTGATGCAGTTCATGTTTTGCTATCCAACAAAAGACACTCTCGTATCTTCTACATTAACTTCAGTATTCCCAAGTAACTGCCAGAACCTTCTTAATAAATCTGCAAACGACTGGCAGGGAGCATAAGTTAAACAAAGAAGCCAAACCTTACACGAAATGTTCAGTCTGTACTTAAACATGTTTAAATAAAACACAGCACGGACAACTGCAGTTTAATTCTTACCTGCATAGAATTCTGGACTATAAACCGCACCAACAACTGGATTTAATTTCCAGCCTGCAGCAAACATAAAAACATAACGGAGTTAATACTGCAATTACTGATAATAATAATGTATTGTTTGTTTATTTATTTATTTATAATAGAAACACACCTGAAATGCGTTCAAGGTCATTTTAATAAAAGTTTTATAGATGTCTTAGATCATTGATCTTTAATATCAGAATACTCTGATTCTCAAGTATGGAAAAAAGTAATGAAATAAATCATTATCTGGATATTTCAATATTACAAGTAGTACTGGAGCAAATTATCAGGTGAACTAGCTTAGCTGAAATGCACGGCTACCATGGTCTTATTGCCTTAAGTTACACAATTACATCAGAACTAGCTCAGGTATCGCTATATCATGTAATAACAGAATAGATCAGTTCTTTTTCATTGCTTTAAATCTCCAGTTACACACTAGTGAGGCCAAAACAGCTCATTTGCTGGACACAGGGTACTTCTGCTAAGCGTGCGTTAGCGTATATTACAAGGCAATAAAATGAGCATTTTCATTCTACTTTAGATAAAAAATGAAAGTGTAGACACTGTAAAGAACAGTCCACCGTGACAGAAAAGATAACTGTGCACTGTGTGAACCCAGTCAAATGCCAGACACTTTTTTTCCAAATTGAATTTGTACTTCAGACTCTCTGCACTGAAATGGCACTACACAGTCATGTATCAGAAATGGCTATAGAACCTGTGTGTACAGGTGGCATATTATGATGAAATAGCTGGCTTATATGAAAATGCTCCAGTCATGCTCTGCCAGCCTCTTACAATGGCGAATGTAGCCAGTGCCTTTCCTTTAAACAACCACTGTCCTACAGCTGGCCTAGAAGCAAGCCAGAACCAAGAGATGTTCTGTGCCATCTGTTCAGGCAGCACTCCAAAGAATTGCTGTTGAGTCCTTACATGTGATGCTGCTCTTCCAGGTACAGAGAGTACACAGCTTTGCTGTAGAAACAGGGCCTGTGTTCAAAGTGCGTATGATGCTAAAGACAGAAATAGAAACTTGCGGGGAACTTGTAAGCTGACCCTATACAGTCATCTTTAAAAAAGTACAGATTAAATGTGCTAAGGAAATAATTGCATATCGCACAGTAGAACAAGCTTTGTTAAGAAGTGGGGCACAGCAACATAGCAAGGATTAGAAAGGATTACTTTCACTTTTTAGAGCAGACAGGTGTGCATTGCCTGAGGAATGCTTTGGTGGGAAAGAAGCCCTGAGACACTGTTCCTTTTCTTCCTGTTTGCATCCAGAACAAGAGAAAAGTGAAGCGAGAGGGAAATTAACCGCACTAATTGTCACTAGTTCTGATTTTGAATGTAAGTTTAGATTAACATGTCTCAAATAAGATACTGCTAATATTCCTCATCTAATCTCTGTGCTGTGTTTCTCATTCGTTGTTGAGGTTCTCTCAATCTATTTGCACGTAATTCTCTATTCCCCATGACTTTGGGAGAGCAACCTGAACTGATGCAACGTGAGCATCAGAAGTATGCTAAAAAAAAATCTAGAAATTACAACCGTGAGCAGGATAGGTTGGAACATCTAAAATTTATCAAGTGTTTTTGCCAGCAAGTAGAACTCTTGACTCTGAATTCATGCACAATGAAAAGGCAGTTCTATCTCTGAAGCACATCCAATATCATTGTATCTGTGAACAAACTCACACCAAAAAGTCCCACTAGAAACTGAACATTTATGAACTGTTCACTCCAGGAATTGTCCAAAGTCAATGGAAAGGATATTTATTTCAAAAACCACCTCACACACAAGAGCAAAGTGCTTATCTGAATGAAGCTGCATATATTTTAAAAAAATATTTTTAAAAAAGTTGAGATTTGTTTTGCTTTTAAGTCTGTTGCCTTTAGCAACCATATTAACAATATAAGTCCAGTTATCAAGCAACCAGCAATACCCAGGAATGAAAGGCAAAATGGAGTGCATCTTATTTTCAAATTCCAATAAGCATTAAGGCCTTACATGTTGTCATTTAACCATATGTGCCAATAACGTGTCAGTCACCACATACACTTTGAAAAATGAAACCACCTACTAATGAAGAAATATGTATCATGAACTGCAGCTAGTCTGTTATATAACCACCCATCAAAAGGTGAATATCAGAGAAGAACATCCTGCATGTATATGCACCCTTGGATGTATACGTTCGCAAACAAACTGTAATTTTTAGGCACTGAGGAGGATGCTTCACAGTTCTGGAGATCTCATGCAGATAGAACAGCCTAGAGAATCACAGACACAAAACAGTACAAGTGGGAAACACTGAACAGCAATTTATCTAGCTCTGGATATAAATAAACGACAATGTACGACAACCCAGCAGTGCAGAACACAAAGGTGAATCTTCCTTAAAATCAGGTTCCTAAAATCTCATTTCCAGCATGACCATCCACTAACACTAGATATGTTGATGAGTAATGTGCTACTGGTAAGCATTTTAGCTTTAGCATGATATGCATACAAAAATATACATCATCATTGATATCAAATCTACTTTTATATTTTTATAATTGCAATACAGCAGGCTAAGTTCATAGTACCTATCATATGCATAAATTTAATATAGCTTCTTATTGTAACAAAATCTTGCTTTGTGATCCAGTCAAGCTTCATGTCTCTCTTGTTAGATTTACTGAGATGTTTTAAAGTCAGTAATAACGAAGGATTTCCCATCTGCATCATTTGGCAAGTTACACATTTACATACAAAATGAGGAAGAAAACACTTTCTGAAAAATCATTAGGAATTTCAAGACTCCTCTTCTCCATATCATTATAACTTGTTCAATTATTGCATGTCAAATGAAAACTGTCACTTTAATTTTACCACACTAAGAAAAAAATATGACTCTTTAAATAAAAAAAAAAAGTCACAATTTGCCATGGTTTTTAGAAAAATCTCAGTAATGAATGCTCAAATACGTAAAATAAGATACATTATATTTCAAAACAGTAAAGAGTCTAAGCTAAATGTGGAAATTGTTATTGCTGTATATGTAGATTTCATCTGTTTTCTACTGGGATGGGAAAAGCTAAATTAAATTGGAAAGCAAATAATTACAGCTACACATTCTAGTAAAATAGGAAAACGTAATTGCAATTAACTTCAATTGATGTATTATTGTTTGACGATGAGTTAGGAACTTGTTAGCATTTTCTGAACTAGCAAGTGCAAATAACTTCTGAAGCACATGATAAAACGTTGCCAGAGAAAAACAGATTTGAAATGTTTTGTCTTCAAACACCTTGAATATCCATAGATTGTTTTTATCATTAATTTAACTTTTTAGATCACTATTAGAATAACTTTTTTAAGCAACTGAGAATTTAGATTACTCCGTGGAAGAAAGGCTGGAATCAGCATTCAATTGCAAGTTGCCCTTTACTTTTAACAAAGCACATAAGGAAGACAAAAGAAATATCTTTGCTCAGATATGTGACTCAGTACTATACAGGATCTCACTCCTCACAGAGGCATTCTTCCTCCAACATCCAAGAAAAAGTGAATCCTTTGATCAGCTCGTTTGTTACAACATTAACACCACACAAAGCTAGAAGAGAATAATGCTACCGGGTATATTTTCCCTATACAAAAGCCACTGTGGTTAAACTCGCAGATTCCAGACTAGCAAAATGCTCCATGTTATGCCCATCCCTGTGAATTAATGTAAGTTCACAAGGATGGAAATTAAGCTCGGCTATAATGTGTTTTCTTTCTGGGTTGCTAGATAAAGCGTGAGCCCAAGGAGATGCAGAGGATGCAGAATGTGAAACTTCGTCCATGGATGAGTCCACCCATCCACCAGAAGAGTGAAGTTTCGCATGCACTGACATAAAAACCACACAGTGAGATATCATGCACTTACCATTCGTGTAAGGGTTGACGGTCTTTTTATTTGTCATTACACGTGCTGTTGCATTATTTACCTAAGCACATAGAACACTGGATTAGAAAGGGTTACAAGGATGGCCTGTGGTATTATTAAATGCATGCATTATCATTGCTATTAGTCATGTAAAAAATAAAATGCAATTTAATTTATAGAAGGCAACAGGTGCATAACAAAATCATACTATTTATAATTACATTTACTTTCATAACCATTTTAACTTACAAATCATTTCAATAAAGCAAAGTCATATCATTTAAACTTTAATAAAAAGACATTAAAAGCAAATTAAAAGGTACTGCATAATTTAAGACTTAAGAGCATGCTTGTATTCCATGATAACACTGATACAATAAATATTCAAAACAGAAAAAAAAAGATTATATGAAGGAACATGCAGTGGAGTAGAAGGGAAATAGACAAGGTACAAGGAAACAAAGAAAATGTCAAAAAAAGGGACAAACGAATTTTAGCAGTGTGCAACATAACCCTTTAGAAGAGAAGTACCATTGGAAAAGCAACATCTAGCATTCAACACTTGGAACAAGAGCCTTTTTCATTGCAAGAATTAACAAAATCATTCAAGCTTTAAAATCACAGCTAACAAAAGGATAAAAAGAGGGTGCATTATTTAACACAATATGGAGTTAACAATCTGAGTAAGATGTGCACGAAGTCATATCCTCAATCCAATCAGTGCCTCCCAGGCTTGCTTAAAACGTACACTCAATTACAGGCGTACCAATATAGAAAAAAATGTAGCATCAAGAAAACTTAATACAACAAGTCAAAAAAATTCACGTGGTATATCAGCGCTAAATACGTGAAACGGCAGATGGACTTCTCCACTTACCATTCAGCACCATCGCCAGCATGGGTATGTATACAGTTACCATGGTTACTGAGAGTTTGGTGAGGGCCCTAAGCGCTACCGTCGAAGGGGGAAAATGAAAAGGCAAAATATGCAACATCTTACTCAAAAGACGACAGCATTTTCAATTGGTATTTTTTTTTTTTTTTTTTTTTTTTAATTCTAACAAATACGACTGAGGCAGTATTGAAGGGGATCCAGTGGTACTAAAACGAGTTTGTATTGTTTCTTTTATAGATACGAATAACTCAGGCCATCCAGCCAAAGGAGCATGATGGTTTCAATAAAAACGAACTCTTAAAATCAGTTGGTTTCTAATCTGCCTTTGTTTCTTTTTCTTGCACATCTTTTGGATGCTTCTTTTCCAATCTGAATTTTTTTGAAAGCCACTGTGGATCCCACATCAACCCTGCAGAAAAAAATAAAAAAATAAAAAAAAAAAAACAAAACCAAAACAAAAACTAAAATCAAAAAACAACCTTTTGTTTGTTTTTGTTTTGTCTGTCACACAGTTTTTTTGTTGTTGTTGGCTGATTTTTTTTTTGGGAATCTACTGCACCCATTGATTCACAAAATATCCAAAATAATAACTTCAAAATATTAAAGCCTTTTTTTTTTTTTTCCTCCAATTCCACCTTTCAGCAATAATGATAATAATAATAATAATTACAAAAGAAATAATAATAAAAAACCCAAGTAAGGCCAGATTCTCTCACTTTATATATAAATATATATATATAAACAATGGGAAGGGGAAAGGGGAGCACACAGAAGACACCAATGATGCATCTGAAACAACAAATGAGAGTGAAGCAGACATTTATAAAAAAGATGAAAAGGAAAATATTTTGAACATGCACCTCGATTTTACGGCCCTCTACCACGGTGCCGTGTAATTTCTCCCTCGCCCTGTCCGCATCAGCACTATTTTCGAAAGTTACGAAACCAAATCCCTGCATGCAGGAGGGAGAAGGGGGGAAAACAACATGCACATTATTATTTCAGTCAACGACCACTTGTTTGCTTATGTTCTCTCTCTTTAATTTAATATTTTCTTGTCCTTGCTTCATTTCTGTAACATGCAAATTAGAAAAATTATAATTGTATTGAGATGTGCAATAAATAAGCGACAAATGTGAACAAATTTTTTCTGTTATCAATTACATAATACCCTCTGAGAAATTCAAAGAATGATACCAAAAATACCTTTCTACGTGTCACTACAGAGGAAAATAAATCTAACAATAAGAAAATTAAATCAAAAGAAATTACAGTGTCTTCACATAGAAAAAAAAAAAATGAACTAATGAGAAAAGAAAATGAATCACATTTTAACAGCATGCAGATATCTCAACAAAATAAAAAACATGTGCACAAAATTCAACACTGAATGTCAATATCCTCTAAAACATTGCCTACTTAATCATGCTTTTGTGATCATAAGAAACACTGTTCCCATGCAACACTAGGGTAACTTAAACTTTTTTCAAACTATACAGCCTTTACTTATTTTTTTATAAAAAAAAAAAGAAAAAAAAAAGAAAAAAAAGCCAGCAACAAAAGTACTTTCAGAAGAAAAAAGAAAACTTCCTTGTATTAACAGATCAAATAAAATCACATGATGTGAACAGAAAAATAAACTCCGGTAAATGAATAAAAATGAAAACGCTTTGAGTAACTTTAACTGGTTTATTTACTATTTCTATATTTTACTTCCCACATGCAACTGGTAGGACTCCAGAATCCCATGTTAATGGGACAGGAGAGCACTCAACTAATTTGAAATTCTCCGCAGGACAAATACTTCACTTTATAACATCAGGCTAAGTAAACATTTCCAATCCTACTAAAATTATTTTTATTATGCTAAGTTAAACTAAGCATTGTTTACAAATATTTAATGTAAAACTGTTGTAAACACTTTTCAAATCAGACATTATAAAACATTCTAGAAACATACACCAACCCTTTGAAATAATTGTTACGATAGCACTACAATGCCTTTGCAAGCTTTCTTGAATAAACCCAACTTCTATAACCCTGAATGCTTCATAATTACAAACACCTGCAAGTTGTACATGCCCATATTTTTAATTAAAGTATTGCTGCATTTATTTGAAGTCCTACTACAATCTTTTTCTTCAGTTTTACTTAAGGTTTGCTTTTGTTTTATCGCTCAACAATAAGCCATGCATCATATCTATCATATTGAGGTTGGCAGCCTTGCATGCAGCAGGGGGGCTGGAGCTTGATGATCGTGTAGGTCCCTTCCAACCCAAGCCATTCTATGATTCTATGATTTTTCCTTAAGCTTTTCCTCCCGTTCATCCTCATTCTGCAGAATGTTCACTGAATGAGGGGTCAGTATTCAATCATTTAGCCTCTGAAGTTCTACCTATTATTTACACGGTGAGTGAAAAAAAAAAGAGGACAAAAGGAGGATACTTATCCTTTTCATTGCAAATAGATAGCCAAGGCAAAACTAAGTATTAACACATAAAACACTGAGGAAAATGATGGACATGAACTACAAAAATAATGCATGGACAAAACAATTTGGAGAAACTGTCAGGATTATTACGTGGGCGTTTGCCTTATTTTGCCTAATAAACGATCATATTGATGCATGCCAGTTTATAACATTGGAAGAGATTTCCATACAGTAGCACTTTCTATCTGATTCTCTCCAAAATAGTTTAAACATACAGAACATTGCTGCTCTTGTTTTTTATTTATTTTTATTTTTCTTCATTTTAAAGCCACACTGAAGACTGAGCTTGCAAGGGCTCCATCAGCATTCTCAGACCACATGACACCACGTATTTTCTCCACTCTACCCTCTGAAATTTTAAGACAAAGCCACGATCACAAGACAATGAGCACATTATTATTTTTCCAGAAAAAAAAATAGTGGTCCTCAAGGGAAAGTAAATAAGCTTCCTCAGTATTAATCTTTACATTTTCGATGCCCGCATAGACCTTACTTTAAGCTCTAAATATTTATTTCCTCATTATTGCTAACCCAAAACTCTGACGTTGTAGAAGTTCTTTCAAAAAGCTTATAATTTAGAAGACCACTAAGAAAACTTCACAACAGAAACCACTGCTGAAGCCAGCAACGGTGAGAGCCTATTTCCACACAGTCCCATACATCATCTTTGCTTTTTCTCCATCCTTGCTGCAGAACCACCCCACTCTCCATAGGGAAGCCGTTTACAAAATTTAGAATCATTCTCACTGGCTTGCAGTGCTGCCAGTTAATTTTTTTCAAATAACTGAATGGAAAGAAAAATCTAATTATATTAAAAAACTGGAAAGAGATAAAAAAAAGTGGAGCCACAAGACAAGACAAGAATTTCAAAGATTCTGCAATAAATATCCACTGTATTTTTTTCAATCTTTTCCTATAACTGACACTATTGAAATTAAGATTTTAATTTTTATGCAAATGGATAATTTCACCTAGATTACCAAGAAACTCAGCCGCCAACCAAAGATTTGTACATCCTATATATAAATAGGAGGACAAACATATTAGCATGCATTTCACATGCAGCTGATTCAACAGTTAATTTGGCTTACCAAATTATATATTTTATTAACCAGTAATGTAAATTTCTTTGCTTTATTTTTAAGTCTGTCAAATGACTTAAAAACAGTCAAGTCTGTACAAGACAAATTTCTGTTTTATTTTAGGAGATGCATCGGAGCTTTTGTTATTTGAGAAATAGCTGTTGCTGTAATATACAGCAATTATATAATAATACATACACACCAAGAGATTTAAGCCAGCATACATGTAGTATATAGATCGCTGACTAGAACACTGATATACAGCTGTTAGCCTTTGTACTCAAACTTACTGAGATCAGTCAGTAGCCCTTTCAGATTCAGAGGGACTGAAGTTTTAGGAGAATATAGATTAGCACTGCTAGGAACGGAACTTGAATCAAACGCATCTCAAATCCTACAGAAGAACTTGAAGTGATCAGATAAAACCCAAACATATTCTTGCTGTTCACGACATTTTTCATTACTGACGTGTTTTCACTACTATAGGATCACTAACGAAAACCCTCAGTTTAGAAATATTTCCCACCTCCCCAAAAGACAAATTTATGCTTTCTGATGCAACCATGGAGGCTGAAAGTCCTGTGTACGCAAGATTTAATGGCTGAACAAAGGTATAACCCACTACAAATTTTACTCATTTCCACCCAGAACCAAGTGAAGGTGGCAAGTGCAGGATGTCATTTGAAATTTATAAAACTATCTAGTAGGAACAGGCTCTGCAAAATCAACATATTTTGCAAAAACTACGCAACCTTCATAATGTAATGATGACACGTTTCAGCCAACATAGGAGATTGTTGCCAACTTAAAAAGATCACCTTCTAAGCCATTAATTTCCATAAGTTTTGGTTGCTTAGTGAAGAAACAGCTAAGTGTTCAAATTGGGTTTTGGAGCGGTAGGCAAGGGAACTAATTAATGAATGTCAGAATAATTCTGGAATATGGACCAGAACGTTTTAAGCATTCTATTAAAGAAAGAGGAAGGATGTGAGGAGGTATAGCCCTTAAATGTAGAAGTTAAATGCTAACACATGAAAGGAAAAAAAATTAAAATGTATCTGATTTAAGAGAAATTTATCATATGTGTTTCATCTTAAAAGATGAAAGATCACAGAATAATGGAAAACAATTACTACTAATAAATCATATATAAGTGTTGCTGGCAGACTAAAACATTAGCAGTAAAACATGACAGTTTTCTAACATGGGAGAAAAAGTAAAAAGATAGCATGCATATGCCATACACAAACTCTTATACCGCAGCTGATATAATAGGTGAAACATACTGTGAAATTGGCTACTGCTTGGAACCAGGTAATGAAGATGATGCAGGCATAATCATTCTATTTTGACCGATTTCTAAATATAGAGTATATTGTTTGAATTGGAGGCAAAGTAAATCTCAGAAAAAAAATTTAAATGTTTTCAGTATAATGAGAACCCTTTTAATCAAATAAATGATTAAACATTCAAAGGGTTGGTGTACTAAGCTTTTACTAAAGAGGAAAACATCTGCACTTAAATAATTTGAAACGATTGTATTTTCTCACTTCATTACTGAACAAGATAGTTAATAGGTATTATTATTATCTTCCATTTCAACAGGAAAAAAACTACACTAATACAAACTCATCTAAAAATATCTTTAAGTATGGACTCATCTTATAAAATACACATGGTAACGATAATTGAATAGTAAAACAGATATCAACATTCCCATAAAACAAATGGCTGTTTGAAGCAGCTTAAGTTACCTCTTTTAAAATATATAAAATGAGTCCAACGATTTTCTTTCTGCTTAGCAAACTAAATCAGAATGCGCTTTTCAATAACATTGAGTTTCAGATCTTACTCATTTTTTACATTAGTGCAGTTGTTTCCTTTTATTTGTTAAAAATATATTCAACAAGCTAAAAAAAACATCTTTGGGTGAATTAAACTGCTTACCTTTGAGCCTCGCTCATTAAAAATAATTTCAACATCTAAGATTTTACCAAATTGCTGCAAAGAAATAGAAAAGTTACATGAAAAAAAGATAACTTAATCAATTCTATCATTAGTAGTACAAATGTTTGTTGCAGAAATTGATGCACTGTATCAAAAAGTTAAAGAATATAAAGTCAAGGATAGTCAAGCACCAGAAAAGACACACTGAAGAGTAGTCAGTACCATTAAATCAGGTACGTCAATGCCACTATGATACCATATATTCATTTATGAATTTAAAATTTATTGAGATGTTCTGACAGTCATCATTGAGCTGTAAACTGAATTGAGAGTCTGAAATTTCTTTCGTTACTGTTGCTTTTCTTTTCAGATAGTAGGTTACTTCCTGGTGATTCATCCTGTTCAACTGCCATCAATGCTTTTTTTAAGAATGTAATATGCTGTTGGGTTAATTTGTTTGGTGTATGGTAAAATATCACTAGGAAGACAAGATTAATGGCCGGATGAACACTGTTACCCTCTGGTTAGCACACCCTCTAAGAACCTGTGTTTCAGAAGATTTTTTGCTGTTGCTTTCCAGTACCGGTTTGTGTTTTACAGGAACAGGATGGAATCAATTGGGAATTTTGTCACTGGCTTCAAGGGAGTGAGGATTTCTCCTCACCACTGCATCCCATAAAGGGATATCCTTTATTCCCTGCGTAATTCTTGTCTTCCTAAAATGTAATTTGGCAAGCTAGAATAGATAATTACGTGTTGGGGAATTTTCCCCCTCAGCAGGGCACTTTATTATAATATTAACTCTTAATTCCATTGATCTCCCAATAGCACAGTCATCTAGGCATTGCTCATTCACACAAAACCTGACCAAATATTTGACTCAGACAGCATTTAGTTACAGTTACTTTTGTAGATGACACATTTTTTGGGATGCGACACTTGAATACATCAGTGGGTCATTTCTGTTTATTCTTATATCATTAACATGCTCTATTCATCAACGTTAACACTAATAAATGACGTATACAATGATTAAACAAAAAGGCAGAAATTAGAGGCAGACAAATGAAGAACAAGCTACCAGCAGTGCAAGGAACTGCAGAAATCAACCAGTACTGCAGTTTGTTAAGATATAACAAACACAGGACAGAAAGGATAGCACTTCTTTACTTCATAAGTGATTTCATCTTAGTTACGAAAATCAACCATCTTTTGTTACCCCTTGGCTTATTTTATGTTCTTGTATTCACAGTCTAGTTAACTAACATTTTAACTGCTATTTTAGCCTATAAGCAGGCAATGGCTGGTTAAACAAATCATTCTCTGCAGTATTCATGTCAATATAGAAAAAATAATCTGCTATGTGCATAACACAATCAAGATGCAGCATTATCATTTCACTTTGGATATTTCATTACTCTAACACTTGCAGAAATTTAATTTTTCCATCAAATCAGAAGCTAAAAGTTTTCTAAGTCATTCTAAAGCTGGAAAACTCCAGTCCCCCTATCTCGAGAACTAAGACACAAATACTGAGAAGAAATGCAATTGCTATCATTTATAAATAACTAAAATCTCTAGACTTTTTTTTTTTTTTTTTTTTAAATGTACTTTCAAATAAAATGCATCTGTTTTACTCGGTTTAAGTCAAATATTTTTCCCCCCTCTAGAGTGTTAATTTCTAGAGGATTAAATGCAATGCAGCAGCTTAGACACAGGAACACAGACACCATGATTTCATATCCATATCCATAACAGGATTCTTTTTTTCTAGTGAACAATTTCTTTATTTCATACAAACAAATACTAGGAACACCTTAACACACACAAAAAGACATGAGAAGAATTTAAGTCTGAGCCAAACACGAGAGATCTAGAGAAAGATAATGGCAAGTAGTGTGACGGCTGCTCCCAAAGTAATGCCTCCTATTTTACTGTGTTGGCCCACAATGAATTTTGGTGGGAAGGCAGCAAAGGTTGAACCTTCCCATCAATATTCTGTGACATTTTGATGCATTGCGACAGATAGCAGCAGAGAGGCACTCTGACAAAATGGCATCTGACGTGGAAGTGTATATGAAGCAAATACATGTCACTGAAACCCTTCATGCAATAAATAAATAAATAAATAAATAAATAAAATAAAGGCACCCACTAACATTTATCAACACTTGCTGAACATTTATGGAGACCAAACAGCGGATGTAGCACCATGAGGCAATGAGTGGTACATTTCAGCCGTGGAGAGAGTTATGTGAAAGACAAGCCACGTTCTGGACTGCTATACATGGCTATCAACCCACAAAATGAAGAACATCATGGCCAGCTCTTCTAGGCGAATTGATATAGTACAACCTGAGAACTGTGTATGGGGCTGAATATTGGCTTCAATGCATTGGAAATGGTGGCAAGGTTGAAATATCACCAAGTTTGTATCATCCCACAAATGCTTACACAGGAACAGAAAGAATACCGTACACAAGTTTTTAAAGACCTGTTGATCCAGTACAAGGCTGAAGGCGAATGTTTCCTGTACTGCATCACTATTGGTAGTGAGATGCAGTGTCACCACTATAAGCCGAAATCAAAACAGCAGTCCACCAAGTAGCGACATGTAAATTCCCCACTGAAAAAGTTCAAGACAGAACTTTCAGTGGATGAAGTGATGTGTGTTGTCTTTTGTGACAGGAAAGGGGTTATCTTCTGGTTTTCATGGAACCTGGACAAACCACCAACTTTGACCTGTACATCACGATGCTGACAAGGGCTTAAAGAATCAGATCAGAAAAGAAGATAACCTTTCTCTTGCAACACAGCAACTCCAGGCTATATGCCAGTTTACAGAACGTGAAACACACTGCCAGTATTGGCTGAACTGTCCTACATCCACCATATAGCCCAGATTTGGTGCCTTCTGACTTCTATCTGTTTGAACTAATGAAAGATGTGCTGTGTAGACAACATTTCTCTAGTGAAAAAAACATGAACTGCAAAACAGTACGGCAGCTCCACTGGTGCATATTTTTTGATTGCAGCAAGTGGGCTCTCTTTCATCGCTGGAGAAAATGCAAAGCTAATTGTTGTGACTATGTTAAAAAAAAAGTGTTTGGAAGTTGATAATTTGCTCCATCAAATAGTGCAATTATTTGTAGCTGTTGTAGTTTCCATTGAAATAAATAGAAGGCGTTACTTTTGGAGCGACCTATGTACTTCATGTTGTGCTATATAACATGAACTATAACACAGAAGAGATGTAAGTTTTGGTGAGTCAGAAAAAAGAAAGGAAGAGATACACAAATACGTGAGAGTACTTGTTTGGAAAAGGAAAATCTGTGTTCTAATAGCTGCTCAAGTACTGTTTCCAGATTTTACTTAATAAGTTTTCAAAAATAAACCTAATAGTTCTTGGAGCAGGGAGAAGAAACCAGGTCTAACCTCTCCATGGTTATGAGCCTAGAACTGATGGCACGTATGAGACGTGTGAAACAGCCAATGCACATGAAGGTAGCTGATGGCCTGAGCAAAAGCAAAAATTGAGAGACTTAGAGAAATATAACGTCAAAAAGTTTAGAAGCCTACAGGTCTATAATACCTATGGGAATAGGCAAGGATTCCTATGCCTGGACTTCTCGCTTAAACCCAGCCCATGTCTTACTGTTTAGAGATTCAGTTCTCTTGTTCATCAGGTGAAACATTGATTACTTCATATTACACTGTCCAAAAATCAATAAATCAAACATATAAATCCAGATGAGTACAGCAGGAGTATGTATACACTGAATATTTTTAGCCAATCTAGGTAGCTATTTTGGAATGAAATATAGGTAGCTGTTTCTGAACAAAATGCAGAACTACAAAATAAATAGAACACACTAATTTGCACATATGATGAAATTAGAAGTTTTTTTCCCCAACTATCTGATTGGTCAGTCATGTTTGGATACAGCTAAATGAAAAGAGAATCTCCAGTGAAAATGGTTAAGCAGTCTAAATCATAGATATCTCTGTCAATATTGCCTGTAATATAAAGTCCTTCTTGCAATGCAAACGTAGAAGAGCATAGACAAAGTATTAGTACTTACACCAAACATTTGTCTAAGATCTGGATCACGGAATCTGAATGGTATATTTGAGACGTGAAGCCGTTTTGGCTGTGATTTGTTTTCTGTGTTTTCAGAAGATTGCGTCTGTTGCTGACCATCGGTCTGTGCTGCATCTTCTGTCTGCTAGAAGGGTAAAACAAAACAATGTAAAGCACGCTGCAAGCGCTTCTGCATTTTAATGTAAATAAAGCGGCCGGCTTAAAATCCAGTCAGGCAAAGGTGCTGAAGGGTAACAGAATTTGAAATGAAAATCAAATCCTTTTCTGTATCCTTCTCAGTATATGAATTTGGTGACATTTTTAATACGCATTTCGAATAAGTCAAAGAGAATGAGGGCTATTATTTTCAGTGCTGATTTTCTTAGCTTTTTCTAAATAATGTCTCCCTATATTACAAGGCTGTTGACACTCTATGTCCAAATAACAGTGTATTTACAGCAGCAAGCTACAGACTAACAAACAAGAGTAGTGCTTTCATTCTGAGGCCACTGGGATTTCTACACAGGAGGTAGGTAACACATTACATCCAAGTTGCAATTTCATAAGCAGTGCTAATAGGTACCAGAGAGTCATTTTGTCCAGCTAAATGGTCACCATCATGAAAAAAGCCTTGAGTTGAGTTGTGAAAAGGAACAGAAGTATAACCAGTGGAGATTTTACAGATTTTCTTTCTCACCAAAATAAGAACGTAGGACAGTACTTCTTACAGGGATAATGTATCCTAGTTTTAAAATGCAGTTTTATAAAAGATGGACACTGCTTTGCATTACATTTTAACAAACGGAATCATAAACCCTTAGAGGGATTAGGGAAAACAGAAACACAGTCATTCGAAATACAAAACTAACCAACACTAGTCTACCAGTATATTACAGAAATATATGGGTTGCATTCTTTAATGATATCACACAATGTCTTATTCATCTTTGTGTGTACAGCACACACTCAGTAGAAATAGATTTTGCACAGGTCTGTAAAATCAACAGTTATTTGCTTCTGCTGTGGTAGGAAAAAAAAAAAAAAAAGAATAGGAAAAAAGCAGATTAATGAAAGTACAAGGATATCTTACAACTCTATTTTCTCCATGCTTCCTCTTTCTTCTGATCATATTCTTCTTCGAAATATTCATTTTTCCCTTGTGTTCTAATGTTACAGTTCAGTCTAAATTTGACTTTTTTATGTAGAAAAAAGTCATCTCCCGTTTCCTGCTGGTATCAAATTTATTTTAATGGACTTCCATTTAAGGGAAGTAAAATGGTTAAATAAAACGAACCTTACCATAGTTTTAGTATCAATAAGCCTGCTAGGTAAAATAACTCAAACAGAAGACACCACTTACATCAGCGATGACTACACACAAACTTAATGCTAGCAAGTGAAGTTCAACATCATCATCCCCATGAAAAACAAATGTTCTCCAAGTACCAGCACGTGCAATTTCCTGTATCGTTCATATTTCTACGCCATTATTATTGCTTTAATAACCATCAAGAAAAATAAACTACTGTTGTACAGTGATTTGTTGCAGAGAGATTTTCTGAGAACTTTTCTTCTAGGTCATTTGCTATCTTCTCTTTAAAGACCTTGAAAATCTAGTTATTTTAGACAGGGCAATTTAAACTGAATCTTCAACTCTGGAAGTACAATGCATATATTCTTATCCTTGCTCTACAGCCAAATTCCTTGATATGATTTCATTTAAGAAATGTGACTGTGCTTCACTGAAAGATAGATAATAGCAACAATATCTTAAGCAAAGATAGGATAAATTATTCCTCCATGTAAACTAGCAATTTCAGCACTATGCTGTGAATAAAGGTTGGAACAGTTCTTTCTAAGGGATAATCCTTAAAAATAATTTTTAAATTTTTTTCAACATTGATGACTTTATTACCAACTGTTAACATTTTACAATGTGTGCTTAAATAGTGCAGGTGCTCTTAAGTATATCCATAAGTAACCAGCTTTGATGTCTGAATCAGAGGTCTAAATCTCACTGTAGTCACTAATCTCCTCAAAGAATTAGTTCTCAATTTGGGACAAATTAAAAAACGCAAAGGAGGTGCAAAACAACTTAGCGAGGGGACAGGAAAGGGAAAGGGGCACAATGAGGCTCAATGCATATTTTCTTTTCTCACAAAAATGCCTCATCGTTGTACTGCAGCTCCTCTCCTTTCAGTTCAAGTGTGCTGTAACAAACAGCCCACTGAAATTATCCCAGTTAATAAACAGGGAAAGAATTTCAAGGCTTTATTTCATCGTGGTTTTTCTGCTGTAATCCAATTTACAGTGTATTTCTGCCAACTGCTGAATGCCAGTAGCTAAATGGAGTAAGGATTTTCTGAAGGAAACAGACCTAACCTGCACCAGTATCAATGGCTGATATCCTCATTTTTTTTCAGAAGCACCAGCTCACTAGTAATTTCTATGCTGGACAATGCTGCTCAGACAAAAAAATAAAATAAAAAATAATAATAATAAAAAAAAAATCAAACAATAAGGTGCTCTAAAGACTAATTTTCAAGTGATCCAACTGTAAGTCTAGAACTGTATGTTTTGATCTGCTGCTGCCTGAACTCATGGGCAAAACCAAAGAAACTAAACAGTTCATCCTTAAGTATTTCTCATGATTTAAACAATAAAGCAAGAATTTAATTGTTGGAAAAAGGAATCCCCAACAACCTTTTAATATGGCATCTAAAATCAACTCAAAAATTCAGAGTTTAAGTTTTAGGAAGTTATTCCATCCATAAAATCAGCAAAGATTACTTTTCACATTCAGGCCTTAAAAGGAGAGAGATATGATAGAAACTTGGCACACAAGAGCAGGTAGCGAACGCAGGACAGGAAAATACTTGAAGTATAACGCTTGCAAAGAATTTAAGGTCAATGAGATTAATCTGAAGATAATTAAAGAATTGTGAAGGTGCTGTTCAGCTTCACGAACAAAGGCTGCCCTGGGAAGAAATTATATAATCAGCTTACTGTATAAATGCAAATTGGAAAAAGTAATTTCTGTTCATTGTATTAATATAAATGATGAGAAACAAGGAGCAGAAGGGCTGAACTGTGCACTATCAACATACCAAAATGTCAGGAACAACTTCTGTACTGAGAAATTTAACATACATATCAACACAAAGCAAATTTATTTTACCCTTTCACAGAAAACTGAAAATTCCAGTGAAGAGCATTTAAGAGTTCGGGCAACGGGGAATGAAAATTAGAAAGTTTAAAAAGTTGCCATCATCTACGATTCATACCTGCAAATGTCTTTAAAAAGTCTAAAAGAGAAAACACGTAAAGTGCATTATAAGATGTGACATTACAACAGTATCTTTTCAAAGTGCATCACCATCTAGAAACATACACACAGGCCTACAAGATCTGGATAAGGGTAGTTGCAAAGTGAAATTGAAATAAGCTTACGAGAAAACTTCCAAGTAACACCAAAGAGGTAAATGCACAGAGGATACAATCTGGATTTGATGAAGTCCTAAAAAGGAAACTTTCAAAGCCCTGTGGAGGTGGAGAGCTACAATGCAATTTAACTTCAAAGAAATACTACATTTCAAGACAGTATTTTTACTGCTAGAAGATATAAAAATTGTGTTTATCTTGAGAAATTAACTGAAGTTAGTATACAAGTATGCCTCACTACATGCCTGTGGATTAGCATGCAATCAGTGCAGGTACTGATCCATTAAGGGTCTGTTCTCTTTTAATACCTTTCCTAATTCAATCAAGTAAATTAGTATGCTTTATTCAAAACAAATAAAAACTTATTTACTCTTTATCATTAGACAGAAATAATACAAAATGCACGGCAGTCTGTGCGATGACCTTATTTCTTCTTTTGAGTACTAAACTGTATCAGATTTACCTTTGCATACCAGGAAGCTATGAGTTTAACTTAGCAAAGACATCACAATACACACACTGATTATTCAATGCATTTCAGTACTGGAACTATCTACCATTGCCACTTCTAAACAAGTGCATTAGAGACATTTGGTAAATATCTTCTAAAACAATTACAAAAGAAAAAGTATATATATATTTTTTATTTTTTTACTTTTTAAATAATCCTAAGTGCTTGGTTAGAAGATGGGTTTAAATCTCAACTGTAATCATCACATTCACATAATACAACTGATTAAAAACACAGTTACGCATTCATCATGTATCCACATAGTCCAGCTATGCCAGGCTGTTTGACGTTCTCTTCTTGAAACGTATCTTTCAAGAAAGATACAGTCAAACCACTGCTCAGTCAGAGTAAAAAAGATTCAAGCTCTTGCTGTTCATACGGAAATTCATCATTATCATCACAGCCACCGATCTTGTTTCTGTCAGTCACAGCCTTCTTGTGCGCATCAAACCACTGTACTATCTAAGCAAATGTGGTTGAAGATCATTTGGAAGGACAATGCTCAGACAGAGCTCAGAGACATTTAGTGGCAAGAGGTTTCCCTTGTAAAACTGGTTACTACGTTCTTTTATTTGTTCAATACCCCAAACTCCACATAAGGCAATAACACTATAATGTTCATAGGCCAATAGCCTCAAGGAATAGTAAATAATAAACCTGGTCAGAATTTCTTGATTATTCCCTAGAATGGTAGGATTCATTTACTCCTCATTTTGTTGGAGGTAAAATTAGTATTTGCCAGAATATCTTAGGTAGACCTGGTGGGTCAAACCTGCTCTTACAGTCTTCCAGAGGCAGACACCCCACAGGCAGCTATTCCATTATTTCTCTTTTCTTATTGGAGTTCAAAAACATTTTCATCTCTTATATACCATATGTAAAGTGGAGTAATTAAGATGATTCCCCTTAGTCTCATCTTTTGCCTGACAACTATGACAACGGTTTTATTCCATCCTCCTTGGTACCACATTCTAAAAAGTTCTCTGACTTCTCCATTTGGTCCACGTCCTTTTAGCTGGTGCCTAATATCTCATACAGTATTCTATTTTAGGACTTAACATTTGTTGCTTGAATCATAAGGACAGCATCAGATATTTTCAAGATAGATTTCTGTCATGCATCACGGTCGTCCTTGCTTTTCCCCTATATCTGTTATTTTTGAGGATTTCTTTCCTTTTATTTCCCCTCTTCAA